GGGTGGAAGGGTGAATGAGGCTTAGGGAGTCCCGGCTGCGCTGTAGACTTACCCCAAGAGGCCTGAGGATAGTGATATTTAATTTTTATGTGATGAGTGTGTTGCTTACATGTGTGTAAATGCGCCCATGTTCTGCAATACCCGCAGAAGAGGGCATCGATCCCCTGGAACTGGAGTTATGGATGGTTGTTAGCTGCCATGTGGGTGCTGGGATTCGAACCCGGCTCCTCTGCAAGCAGAGCCACCGCTCTTAACCACTGAGCCACGTCTCCAGCTCCAGGAAGGCAAGAACAGCAGAAAGTGTTTGGAAGAGGCGGTGGGGGTAAACTGAAGATTTCTGGGGGAACAGTGTGTGCCCCGGGGTGGGGTAAGGAAGGTCACTGTGGATCCCCGGGATCTAGTCGACCCAGACGTTGTTCAACTCTCCCAGAATCCGGGGCGGCGTCAGGAGCCACGTGACAATCCCACACTATTGGCTAGGGAGAAAGCATAGTTGTGAAGATGGCGGCTCAGCATCGAGCACCTCAGCAGAGTAGGTCCGTACATTGCCTGGGGAAGGCGAGGGGGAGGCCGGCAGGGGCGGCGCGGAACGCGGCCGCTCGGGGTGTGGGCCCGTGGGAGAGGGGGGCGGCTGCGGGGCGTGCACACGCCGTCGCCGCGAACGGCCACACGCCGCGGGCAGGCCGCCCACCCCGGCCCTGCGCCCCCCTGTAGCCCTACTGTGTGGCGGGGGAGCGCGCTAGGAACCCGGAGCACCCAGCCTGGGGCAAGATGGCGGGGCCTTGAACGGCGAGGGCAGCCAAGAGGCGTCGCGCGTCGCTAGGGCGACGGCGGCCAGGCACGGCGGAGGCGGGGCCGCGTCCCGGAGTGGGCGGAGCGTGCAGCGGGGCGGGGCATCTCTGTGACGCTAGGGGCCGGGCCTACTTGATGAAACCCGTAGGGGGTGGGGTGGGGTTTGAACTGGCCAATGGGCGAGCTGCCGACTGGGTGTCGGAAAAGGAGGCGGAAGCGGGGAGGAGCGGCCGCGGGAGCCGGACTGCATCCGCCGCGGCGTCTCCATGGCACGACCCTGGCCTCCGACTTCAACGACTTTATAAGGAGACGGTTCTGGGCGCAGCCGTGTCGCTCTTGGTGAGGAGCGGCGGGGGTGCGGGCGGGTGTGGCCGGTTCCTGTTCCCTCCTGGTGCTCCCTGCCGGGCTTGGTTCTCGGACTCGGCTCCCCGTGCTCTCGGTGCTCCGTTCTCCGGCTTGGGTCCCTGTGCTCCCCGCTGGGCTCGGCTCCCCGTGTTCGGTTCTCCGGCTCAGCTTCCCGTGCTCTCGGTGTTATGTTCTCTGGCTCGGCTCCCGATGCTAGATTCTCCGGCTCGGCTCTCCGTGCTCCCGGTGTTAGGTTCTCAGGCTCGGTTCTCCGGGCTCTTGGTGCTCCCCGTGCTTCGGGCCCAGGCTCGCAGGTCCGGCCGCGTTCAGGCGCCTAGCGCGCTCCCGGTGGCGTCCGAACCCTGGGCGGGCGCGGGGCTGTCCTCCCGCTAACGGGCGGCCGGCCGCCTCCGTCAGCTCCCGGCCGTCCGTAGGGCTCCGCTCCCTCCTCTGCTGCCCTCGGGCCGGGCTTCGCCCTCCTATGGGCAGAATCCCACCCCCTCTGGCCCGCTGGTGGGTGGCCGGGCCTGGCGTCCACCCCGGAGGCCGCCGGTTCGACCCCCCCCAGCTGGGGCCCGTGGTCCCAGCCCTGGGTACCCTGGAGGCCGCCCCCCGCCCCCATCCGGGCTCCTCCCCCCTGCACACACCATTGGTTCTCCCTGGTATCTCTTCTGCCGGGAACGCCCTTCTCCTAGGAGACAGTTGCCCCGGCACCGCCCCGAATATCCTTCCAGCTCCCTTTGCGGGTTCCTACCCCTGGGGGGGGGCCCACTTGCGGAGGGCAATTGGGGCCCAGCAGTTCTCACCTTCTTCTCATGCCAGCCAGTCCTCAGGTTTTCCCCCTGGTAGCCATCCTTCCCGAGTGGGGCCTCTTGGCGGTCCTCCTCTCAGTAACCCCCCTCGACTCTCCCACCACGTCCTCCACCTGCCTCCTGGCAAGCCCACCTGGCAACCCTTGGGTAGCTCAGCCTTTCCTGTCTCACCCCCACTTTGGCAGGACAGTTGCTGTGCGACTTGGACAGTAGAGGAGCGTCTCCCAAGTTTTCATCCAACTGCCACCCCCAAAGCTTCCACCCTTCTCCCCTGAGATTCTCATTGGCAAGCCCCTTCGGGGTCACCCAGAGCAGGCCCCGCTGACCCAATTGCCCACCTTTCCGGTTTTGATGCTTAGCCATGTCTGCCTCGTCCTCAGGTGGCTCCCCCAGGTACTGCCAGTGGGGGGTGGGTGCCTTTTGCAGTAGGGTGGGGAAAGGTGGTCAGGGCTCCCTCCCCCAGAGCAGCCTCAGTGGAAACTTCACCTTTCAGTTTTCCTCCTCTCTGTATTGAAAGTCTGAACCAAAAAAAAAAAAAAAAAATTTTCAAAGTGATTTTGGAAGGAGAGGAGGAAAAGAAGCCCATGCTCCTCATCCCTGTTAACACCCTCCTCATCCCTGTTCTGCACCCCAGTCCCCCAGACTCCCCATCCCAGCTTAACAGAGCAAACAGGGTCACTCTTAAGTGCAGTGCTAAGCTCTGAGCCCAGGCTGGTCTCCTACTGGGCGTGTAGCAGCCAAGGATGGCCTTGAAGACCTGATCCTGCCTCTACCTCCCATGTGCTCGATTAAAGGCATGCCTTTGCTCTAAACTATTGATTCTAAGTGAGAAATGTTCCAAGTAGGGAAAAAGCCCTTGAGTTTCCCAGTTTTGTTCTCCATCAGCTAAGTGACAGTAGGACTTGGTGAATAATTATTTTTAAATGATTGGAAAAAACACAAGCTGCAGTGATGTTATTTTTATGTTTTTGGTACCCTCCCTTCCCCATGAACTGGCAGGGAAAATTGACATTTTGGGACTGTCGGGAGGCATCCCAAGCCTTTTTCTCCCACCCTGGCATTCTTGGATGGACTGCTATTTGTAAATCTCATGTTGGACTATAGGCAGGATCCTCAAAGGGTGGGAAATGGGCACTTTTTCACTTTCAGGTAGAATGTGTGAGCCTGAGTGTTGTAAGCTTAGGGCACAGTGCTTGTGAGTCAGGTGCTCTGTCTCTTTATATTAACTGAGCACCTGTGTTCCAGGCACCGTCCTGGGGCCCATCACCCCTGTTGAGACAAGTACCTTAACTGCTTTTTGTGCATTGCCTGGTGTGTGTGTATGTGTGTGTGTGTGTGTGTGTGTGTGTGTATGTGTATGTGTTTGTCAGCTGACAGGATGACAGGTAAGTTTTTCAGCAAAAGGTCATAAATACATGTGATGCAATGGTAGGTTAAAAGGCCAACCATACAAACACCTGTCACCTTGTTTCCATCCTTCTTTCGGGCATACCATGCGAGCCTCTTGCTCATCTACAGGAAGCCAAGGGATTGAAGACCCATTCTCCTGGTGGTGAACTCCATACTTACATACTGTGTGTAAACTCTCAAGATCTAGGAAATCGGAGAACTCTGGTTTTGTACTTATAATCTGGTTCTTGTGCCCGGTACAGGTTTCCATCGTGTGGGAAGAACGGAGTAACGAGTCTCACACAGAAAAAGGTCTTGAGAACACCTTGTGGCGCACCCAGTGTAACAGTGACGGTATGTGACTTGTGCATGGAGTAGTCCTACTAGAAATGCTTCTGCACGCTTTTGCTAGGAGTTGCCTATATCATTGTGACCCTGTTATACATGGTCTGCGATAAGGGGGCCAGGAATGAGGAGGTTGTCTTAAGACTATCCTTCCAGGAAATGCCAACATCTTGGGAACATTTATTATTTTATTTTTTGTCTTTTTGAGACAGGGTCTCCCTGTAGCCCCAGCTGGCCTGGAACTTACTCTGTAGACCAGGCTGGCCTCAAATTCACAGAGATCCACCTGCCTCTGCCTCCCGAGTGCTAGGATTAAAGGTGTGCGCCACCATGCCTGGCTGGGAACATTTATTATTTTAAATATTTCATTTGTTATTTTTATTTTATGTGTATGGGTATATTGCCTGCATGGATATAAGTGCATCCATATTGTGCAATGCCTTCAGAGGTCTGGAGACAGTTTTAGTTCCCTTGGAACTGGAGTTACGGATGGTTGTTAGCCACCATGTGGGTGCTAGGAATTGAACCTGGGTCTTCAGCAAGAGCAGTCAGTGTTCTTAACTGCTGAGCCATCTGTCCAACCTATTTAATTTTTATTTACTTGTATTTTATGTGTATGGGTGTTTTATCTACATGTATAAAAGTGCACCCTTGTGCAATGTCTACCAAGGCCAGAAAAGAGCATTGGCTCCCCAGAACTGGAGTTACAGATTGTTGTTAGCTGCCATGTTGGTGCTGGGAGCTGAATCTGGCTCCTCTGCCAGTGTTCTTAGTCTCTGAGCCATCTCTTTAGCTCCTATTTATTTATTTTGGCAGCCCCAGCTGGCCTGAAACTCACTATGTAGACCACTTTGGCCACCATCTCACAGAGATCCACGTGCCTCTGCCTCCTGAAGGTTGGGATTAAGGGCATGCACTGTCACACCTGGCCTGCCCCTATTATTTGAGACAGGGTCTCAAATGTAGCTCCTCCTGGCTTGGAACTTGCTGTGTAGATCAGGCTGACCTAGAACTGCCTGCCTCTGGCCTCCCCAGTGCTGGGATTAAAGTGTGTATCACCAGACCCCAGCCTAGAACAGAATTTTTTTTGTTGTTCTTTTTGAGACAGGGTCTCCCTGTAGCTCCAGCTGTCCTGGAACTCACTATGTAGACCAGGCTGGCCTTGAACTCACAGAGATCCGCCTGCCTCTGCCTCCCTAGTGCTGGGATTAAAGGCGTGTGCCACCACGCCTGGCCCATAGAACAGATATTTTTAAAAGAAAAAAAAAACCCACATAATTTAATTGAGCAAAGAGGGGATAAGAGCTGGTGATGGGCAAGGCGTCTGGGTCGGTGCAGTCCTGCTCACAGTTTCTTTAGAATCTCCAACCTTCTCATTCTTGGTACGCCCACAAGCTTTCTATCCCCACAGTCCTTCACTGCATGCTGCTTGATTTGTTCCGCACCCTGACTATTTTGTGTTTCCCATGCTAATCTGCATGCCCCTTCAAATTCTCTGTGTAGAAAGCTCCAGCCTAGCTGCCTAAATGAAAGGGGGAGCTCTGCGTCCCAGCAGGCCTGGGTCAGCTCTGAGGAGCCTGGGCCTGCCCATGGGCTCTTGTGGAACCGGTGGGTCTAGCAGACCCCTCTCTCGAGTACACCAGAGTCTCCCTGCTGGCTATCAGCTGGGACTTGTTTGGGAGCCTACCTAAATGATACTCCTGCCTTGCTTCCTGTTTGCATGCTAGTAGTTGGTGGCTGTCCTGCTGGCTTGGTGACTAGGCTTTCAGCTATCTCCAGAGGCCTCTGAACTTGGTTTTTATGCCCAGTTTACTCATCCACAGATCAACCTTTTTTGTGTTGCCCTCCCCTGCCTGCCATGAAGGACCGTTCTTCAACTCCCCCCTTACATGTTCACGTGGATGAGAACACCCCTGTCCATGTCCACATAAAAAAACTCCCGAAACCATCAGCGACCAACAGCCAGGTAGGAGCACGGCGGTGGGGCAAGGAGCAGCTGTGGACCATCTCCCGGCCCAGCCAACTCCTGCTTCTGACGCCAAAGGTTTGGGAGATACTCACTCTTTTTTCCGGAAATCACTTGTATGGTTAGAAGGTAGGCGTCTGTAAGTCTGCAGCAGCCATAAACTTTGAAGAGGCAGAGGTAGTGGGTGTCACCAGACTAACACTATGGTCCAGCAGGGTCTGGAGATGACTCTGGTTTTGTCCTTTTCCACAGAAATCTCATAAGCGTGGAATGAAAGGGGACACCGTGAATGTACGGCGGAGTGTCCGGGTGAAAACCAAGGTACCTTGGATGCCCCCTGGAAAATCATCTGCCCGGCATGTGGGATGCAAATGGGAGGTAGGCCCGTTCTTGTCCAGGCTTTTCTTCTCGGACTGTTCAGTCCGATTCTAGCCAGCCTCAAACTCGGTATGATCAGGGTTGGCTGTAGGCACTGCAGATGCCGCTAGCCCAGTTCATGGAGTGCCTTGCTACCCTGAAGTAGATGGCTCTTCCAGGTTCTTAGAGCACTGCTGAGTGGTAGTTCTGATGTCCTGGAAGGATATGAAGTAGCATAGGAAGGTCTGATTGCTTGGAATCTCAGAGCAGCACAAGTACAGTCAGGGCTCAGCTTAGCCTCTGCTTTGCCAAATATATTTCCTATGTGTCCGTCATAGTGTCTGTATCCCACAGTGAACGTAATTAATGGATCTGTGTGTGCATGGGTGCATATGCCAACATGTCCATAGCCAAGGAGACGTGGCCAGAGGGGATTGTGCGCGTATCCGGTCCACACTGCTTTGGAACCGTCTCGGGGGTCCTGAATTGCCCCTAGTCCTAGTGGCCAGGAGGGAGTGTATCTTTTGGTTGCCTGTGTACCACGTGCCTACCATCCATCCCGCTATCATGCACTGTATGTCTTTGGGGAGTTGTACCAGGCATTGCGGGGCACTCTGGTTCTAGCTCCGAGCCTAACAGACGTGCCTCTTTCTGCTTACTTTTTAGTCAGCTGCAGTAAAAATCTCAACGACAAGATCAGGCTAAAAGGCTTTGGTATGTTTTGAACAAAGATCTGGTTTCAGTTGAACAATGGCTGTGGAAGTTCTTCTGGTATTTTTGGTTTTGTTTTTGTTTGTTTTGAGACAGGGTCTCCCTGTAACCTCAGCTGACCTGGAACTTATATAGACCAGGCTGGCCTCAATCTCACAGAGATCCTCCTGCCTTTGCCTGGGACTAAAGGTATGCACCACCAGGCCTGACTGTGGGAGTCTTTAAAATGATGACCAGCCTGATCCCGTCTTTTTCTTGTGGATTCTTACTTTAAGAAATCCAGAACAGGATGTAGTTCTGACAGTCACAGTGTAATTCTGACGGTCATAGTTGTATTGTGTAGACCTGACACTATTTGTCCATTTGTCCCTAGTGGACAAGAGGAGAGCCAGGTGTTGTCAGGAAAAAGTGGCAAGTGTTACATGAACATTGTACACAAAATTGGTGCTTTGAGCTGGGGTGCAGCTCCCTGGTAGAGTTCATATTTGGCACGTGTGAGGCCCTGGGTACAATTCCAGTACTGCTGTTCCAAAAGAAGGTTGAAATAACGATGCTTCGTTACAGTTTTTAATCGTGTAGGCCTCAGTAGTAGCAGTTGAAAAATAAATTTGAAATGTTCATTTATAAAACAAAAAAAAACAGGCGTGGTGATGGTGCATGCCTGTAATCCCAATGCTTGGAGGTTAAAGCAGGAGGGATTGCTGGGGGTTGGAGGCCAGCCGTGGCTACAGAGTGAGACTGGCTCAAAATCCGAACAAAAACAAACAGAAGAGAAACAATGAGGTATGTTTTTACTGAACGGAAGGAGCTGAAAAGATTGCAAGTATTCCTGTCATTAGGCACATGGAGTATCAAGGACCTTTTAGTGGCCCACGCCTTTAATGCCAGCACTCAGGAAGCAGAGGCAGGTGGATCTCTGTGAGTTTGAGGCCAGCCTGGTCTACATAGCGGGTTCAAGGCCAGCCAGGGCTACATAGTAAGATCCTATCTCAAAAAACAAAATAACAAGGAAGAGTCCCAGCAGTGTGGAGGTGTACGGTTACAATACCCAGACTGAGGAGGCTGAGGCAGGATTGCTGTGAATTTGAACTTGGGCTACCCAGACCCAGTTCAAAAAAGCCCCCAAACAATAAAACCCTGTGGTTCACAGCTGTAATTTCAGTGCTTAGCACTCAAGGGAAGCAGGAGGATCGCTGGCATTTTGAGGCCATCCTGGCCTGTGTAGAGAGGTCATGCCACCCGGCCTATAGAGTGAGATCACTTGTACCTTCTCCCTCCCACCCAAATGACTCTTGCCTATCATCCCAGGGCTGAGTAGGCTGAGGGGGGAGTTCCAGGTCAGCCTGGGCTACAGAGTGAGACTCTATTTGAAAAAAAACAAAAAAAAGGGCTGGTTGCAGTGAGTGCAGATAGGGGAGGTGGTCTAAATATGATTAAGATGTATTATATATGCGAAATACTCAAAAATTCAGTAAACATGTATATGTATTTTTAAAATTTTATTTAGTGTATATTGCCTACATGTAGGTAAGTGCACCCGTGTCGTGCAGTGCCCACAGAAGTCAGAAGAGGCTGTCAGATTCCCTGGGACTGGAGTTACGGACATTTGTTAGCTGCCATGTGGGTGCTGGGATTCGAACCTGGGTCTTCTACAAGAACATTCAGTGTAAACCATCTCTCCAGCCCCAATATATGTGTATTTTTTTTTAAAAAAGAACTGATGAGATGGCTCAGCAGGTAAAGGCGGGAGCAGCCAAGCTGCATGAGCTGAGTTTAGTTCCTGGGATCTATATGGTGGAAGGAGAGAACCAACTTTCACAAGTTGTTCTGTGATCCTCCACATAATATACGTGCTGTGGCATGTGCCCAGCCCCTCACTAAATAAATGTATACAATAAAGATGGGGTTGGGGTTCTAGCTCAGTGATGGAGTGTTACGTAGCATACACAGGGCCCTGTGTTCACTCCCCAGTACTGCCGAGGAAAAAAAAAAGTGACTGGTTTTTTTTCAAAGCACAAATCAAAGATGCTGCTGTAGAGGTGAGATGGCTTATGGTAGCAGTGCGTGCCATGTGAGCTTGGCAATCTGATTATAGATATCCTTGGAACACAGGGAAGGATGGATGGAGAAACTCTCAAAAAGTTGTTTTCTGATGTCTACATGTGCACATGGCACACACGTGCACATGTACACCCACAATAATAATACATTTAAAAAAGAGCGAGATGCTGCCATGAGAATTGGCTTCCTGTTGGCATGGGTGCTGGGAGGGATGAGATTCCCTTCCCTCCAGTGCTGCTATCACACAATCTGGAAGATTGTCCAGAGGGAACTTGTTCAGCCTCTCCCAGACGGGAGCTTTTTCCTGACTTCAGGTCTGCCCTTGCCACTTCCCACTGATCCCTGTGTTTCTGGGAAGCCCTGACCTGATCTGATGCTTTCCATTTTGAACAAACGGAGGAAGACCCCAGGAGGTGAAAGTTTGGGATGGGATTGGAAATGGAGGCCAGAAGCTGCTGTGTGTGGTGGGGCGTGGGGGCAGGGGAATGGGAGTGGAGAGTGGTGTGGGGGTGAATGGTGATTCTTGTTTGATTTGGCGGTGGTGGTGGTAGTGTTGGGGATTGAGCCTGGAGTCTTTTCTGTTTTACGTTATTTTTATTTTATGTGTCTATTTTGCCTGCACCTATGTAAAGGCATCTGTGTCATCGCAGTGCCCACAGAGGCCAGTAGAGGGTGTTACAGATGGTCCTCTATAAGAGCAGCAAATGCTCCTAACCACTGAGCCGTCTTTCCAGCCCTGAGCCCAGAATCTTAGCCATGCTAAGCATGCACTCAGCCTCTGAGCTACATTCCTAGCCCTTGTTTGATTTTTGCTTTTACACCCCTCTGGTATTTGTCTTTAGAAGAAAGAAGTTTCTATTTATTTATTTGTTTAATTATTATTGTTATTATTTGGAGGTGTTTTTTTTTTTTTAATTTTGTGTTTGAGATGGGGTCTCATAGCCCCAGCTGGCTAGGAACTTACATTATAGATCAGGCTGGCCTCTCTCTTACAGAGACCTACCTGCCTTAGCCTCCCGAGTGCTTGGATTGAAGGTATGTGCCATCATACCTGACTTCTCTTTTTTTTTTTGGTCTTTTTGAGACAGGGTCTCCCTGTAGCCCCAGCTGTCCTGGAACTTGCTAAGGAGACCAGGCTGGCCTGGAACTCACAGATATCTGCCTGCCTCTGCCTCCCTAGTGCTGGGATTAAAGGCGTGCACCACCTCACCCGGCTGACTTGTTTTTTAAAATTTTATTATACTGTTACTTTTTTTGAGATTGTCTCACTATGTAGACCAGGCTGGCATCAAATCAGAGCTCTGCCTGTCTCCTTTTTTTTTTTTTTGTATTTTATTTATTTATTATTTTTATTTTATGTGTATGAGTATATTGCTTGCATGTATTTGAGTGCACCCATGTTGTGCCATGCCCTGGAGGTCAGAAGAGGGCTTTGGATTCCCCTGGAACTAGAGTTAAGGATGATTCGTAGCCACCATGTGGGTGCTGGAATCGAACCTGGGTCCTCTGCAAGAGCAGTCAGGGCTCTTAACCGTTGAGTCCATCTCTCCAGCCCCTGTCTCTTTCTTCTTTAATGCTGAGATTAAATGTGGACTCCACCACACCTGGCTTTTTTTTTCTTTTTTCGGTCTTTTTGAGACAGGGTCTCCCTGGATTCACCAGCAGTCCTGGATTCACCATGGAGACCAAGGCTAGCCTCAAACGCACAGAGATCCGCCTGCCTCTGCCTCCTGAGTGCTGGGAATAAAGGTGTATGCCACCACGCCCAGCTAGATGAGGTCTTTTATGTTGCCCAGGTTGGCCTGAAACCCTGGGCTTAGACTCAGGAGTAGCTGGGACTTAGGTGATACCATGCCAGTTGTAGGGTGTTTTGTGTGTGTATGTGTGTGTGTGAACTAGGGATTGAACCTAGAGTCTTATGCATGCTAGGCAAGCACTATACCGTTGTGCTATACCTCCAACTCCATTCTTTTTTTAAATTTTTTTTGATTTATTTTTATTTTATGTGTATGAGTGTTTTGCCTGTATGTATATAAGTGCACTTGTGCATGCATTGCCCACAGAGGCCAGAAGAAGGTGTTGGATCCCCTGGAGCTAGAGTTAAAGGCAGTTGTTAGCTGTCCTATGGGTGCTGGGATTTGAACATGGGTCCTTTGCAAGAGCAACCAGTACTCTTAACCATTGAGCCATCTCTCTAACCCCCACTCTTATTTTCAAACAGGTTCTCACTAAGCTGCCTAGGCTAGTCTTGAAGTTATGATCCTCCTGCCTTAGCCCTCCTGAGTGTTGAAATTACAGATATATACAAATATGCATGGCTATACCGATATGGTTTGTTTTTTGTTGCATTTATTTCTTTTATGTATGTGTGAGTGTGTATGCATGTGAGTGTGTGGGTGCAACGGAGTGCATATGGAAGTCAGAGGACAGCTTATAGAAGGCAGTTCTTGTGGGCTGGAGCGCTGGCTCAGGGGTTTAAGAGCACTGGCTGCTCTTGCAGAGGATCTGGGTTTAATTCCCAGCACCCACATGGTGGCTAACAACCATCCTTAACTCTAGTTCCAGGGGATCCAGCATCCTCTTCTAACCTCCATGGGCATTGCATGACATGGGGGCATTGACACACATGCAGGCAATACAATCATAAATAAAAATAAAAATAATTTTACACAAAATAAAAAAGGCAATTCTTTCCTTGTATATGTGGAAACAGGAAATCTAACGCCTGTCTTCAGGCTTGGCAGCAAGTGCCTTTACCTATAGAGCCCCTAATCTGTTATATGTTAAAAAATCTTTCCCAGGTATTATGTCATTATGCAGTTTTGTTTTGATGTATTTCTGAGACAGGGTCTCATGTAGCCCAGGTTGGCCTCAAACTCATTTTGTAGGCCGAGGATGACCTTTGAACTCCTCCTGATCCTCCTGCCTTAATCTCTCAAGTACTGGGATCATAGGTGTATGCCACAGTGGCTTCCTAGGTTGCATTTTTTATTTTTTAAGGTAGGGTGTCTCTTTACGTTGTCCAGTCTGGTCTTGAATTCCTAGGCTCAGGTGATCCTCCTGGAAGTCTCAGCCTCCCAAATAGCCAGACGGTTAAGGTGCCCGCCACCCCAACCTGGCTGCCTTTGTTTTAAACTTAACATTCTAACCCAACCATTTTCTTTCAACATTAGAAATTCTTCAAAAACCTCGTTTGGACTTGGGTAGTTAGTGTTCCCTCGAGGGTCTGCACTGGTCGTTCCAAGGGCACGCCCTCTGGAGTTGACTTCGGCTTGTGTTGGCTCTTCCCGAAGCCCCCAGCAGTCAGCAAGCCTCCAGTCAGCAGCTGCAGTGGACCTCTGTCAAAGGCTTGTCCTTGGTAGCTCACATGTCTCTCCCTCCTCCACATCAGAATCCACCTCATTGTCTGGAGATCACACCACCATCTTCAGAAAAGCTGGTCTCGGTTATGCGATTAAGTGACCTCTCTACAGAAGACGACGACGATTCAGGTCACTGTAAAATGAACTGTTACGATAAGAAGATTGACAGTCTAATGAACGCAGTCGGTTGTCTGAAATCTGAGGTGAGGGAATTGGTGGGCTGGGATTGAATGGAACAAGCCAGGTGGCTTAACCTGTGGATGCCTCTCTACAGGCCTCCTGTCCCCTCAGCAAAGCTTCCCAGGGCACACACCAGTGAGGACACCCACCAGTGGAGGGGTCACTGGGCAGCCGGTGTTCTCACTGTGCTGGAAGGCCCTGATTGAGCACTTAGCTTACCTGGTGCTCTCAGAGGATGGCCAGATCTGACTGAGCAGTCAGAGAAGTGAGCAGTGCTAGCTAGTACCCTGTTTCTGTAGACAGTCTCACTACGTAGCCTCGTCTGGCTTTGAACTTGCTATGTAGAGCAGGCTGGCCTTGCCTGCAGCCACCCTCCTGCTTCTGCCTCCTGGAAGCTGGGATTACAGGAGTGTGCCAGCACTTTAGTTCCCTATTATCCAGATAAAGTGACTATAAAACACTTTAAAGGTAAACCCAGACTTTTTGTTTTTTCTTAATTACAAAAAAAAAAAATCTTTTTTTTGACTGAGGTTTGCCTTTAGCTCTAGCTGGCCTAGAACTCGCTGTGTAGGCCAGGCTGGCCTGGATCTGAGGTCCGCCTGCCTCTGCCTCCTGATTACAGGGACTAAAGGTCTGTTCCACTGTGCCCAGCCCCAGCCTTCCTGTTTTATGCAATAATTGAACAAAAGCAAAAGAGAAAGGACGTTTATATCCTCACTGGTGATCTGACCCTTGAGAGGTGGGAGATGGCAGTGAAACTGGAAACAACCAGTCCAAGGTCCTTCAACCAGGAATTTTGTAGGGCTGGCATTAAAAGCCAGGTCCTGACTGCTGATGTACCTGTGTCTTTGATCCTCCACTCTGTACGGTGGGGGGTGGAGTGGGGGGGGTGTCTGGGGACCCTCCTGGCAAACAGGCCCTCCCAACCCTGACACTGGGGCACTTTTGGTGACATGGGCCAGCTGTACTGCTGTTGCATCCTGGCTCCCCACACCAGCAGGTCCCTCAGGCTCTCGGTGCTCAGTTCATCTACCGGATGAGTGGAGACTGTGTGACTATGTCTGTGTGACTGCTCACTTAGCTGGGCCCATGAGGCCCTGCGTACAGAACTCGCGTCATTTGCTCTCCAAAGGTCTGGGTTCTAGTAGTGTGGTATCAGGGAGCCTCCCCTCAGTGGCCTATGTCTGTGTGTCCCTTCGAAGGTCAAGATGCAGAAAGGCGAACGCCAGATGGCCAAAAGGTTTCTGGAGGAGCGCAAAGAGGAGTTGGAGGAGGTTGCCCACGAGCTGGCAGAGACGGAGCATGAGAACACGCTGCTAAGACACAACATCGAGAGGATCAAGGAGGAGAAGGACTTCACCATGTAAGGCCGGCTTGGCTGTCCATTCCTGCCCTACGTCACTCCTTCCTGCCAGGCCTGGAGTCCTGGGAACAGAAGGAAAGCCGTGGAGGGAGGTGGCCGGGCACCCCATCTGTGGGGACCCTGTAGTGTAGCCCACAGCTATGCTGTGAGGGACAAAGAGGACCCCATAAGCTATTGAGTGGCAGTCAGAGAACTCCAGAAGGTGGTTCTGGAGGGATTGGTAAGGTGAGGGACATGGGCAGTCAGGAAGAGGAGATGCTGGGAACATTTGTCCTAAGTGGAGAGCATTTGCCGGAGCGATGTAAAGGAGGCCCCAGCTGGCAGCAGAGGGGCCTCAGAGCTGGCAGGGGCTGTAGTGTCTGAGAGCAGCTTTTTTGTTTTGTTTTGTTTTTTCAGTTGTAAGAGGTAGAACCCAAGGCTGGAGCATGCTCAGTGCTCTACGGCTGAGCCACACCTCCAGCCAGTTTCAGAATACTTTGAGGAAACTGGGAGCTGTAGGAAGGTTTTAAGAGCTGCGAGCAGTCACCAGGCATGGTGGCTCAAGCCTGTAATCAGAGCACTGAGAAGTAGAGGTGGGAGGATCAGGAGTTCAAAACCAGCCTGTACTACATAGCAAGTTCAAGGCCAGCCTGGGCTACATGAGACCCCATTTCAAACAACTAAAAAAATAATTCGTGCCGGGCATGGTGGTGCAAGCCTTTAGTCCCAGCACTCGGGAGGCAGAGGTAGCCAAATCCCCATGGTCTACATGAGAGTTCCAGGCTAGCTGGTGCTAAAGGGAGACTGTCTCAAAAAGACCAAGAAAAAGAAAACAATCTATGAATCTGTGATGAAGCTTGCCCGCACCATTGGAGAGCATGGCAGAGCTCAAGAGCCTGCAGTTGTGGGTCATGCCGTGGTGTCTCCTGGGTAGAGGCCCCACTCTAATACCAGGCAGGTGTGTCTTCTGGGCCCTTATCCTTCTAGAAGGCCATTGGGCAGGAGGGGCCACCTCACCCCTTCCCCCACTGTTCCCTGGCAGGAGGGTGCCTCGCAGGGCATTGTGAGGTGGGCCCCAGAGCTCTGGGCAGGCAGGGCCCAGGGTTCATGACCCCTCTCTTTCTGGCCCCAGTCTCCAGAAGAAACACCTCCAGCAGGAGAAGGAGTGCCTCATGTCCAAATTAGTGGAGGCAGAAATGGATGGAGCGGCTGCCGCCAAACAAGTCATGGCCCTAAAGGATACCATCGGGAAGCTGAAAACTGTAGGTGGAGCCCTGGGATGGGGTGTGGTGGGGGCAAGGGGGGGCGCTTTACGCAGTCATCAGGCTGACTTTATGACATCTCTAGGCAGAGGGAGGGCACACCTTACTCAGCTCCCAACCCCCACTCTCACTTCCTGGGCTTTGGTCCTTGAAGATGACCTCTGGTGACCAGGGCCTCTGAGGAGACGGCATCATGGATCACTTGGGATCATACTGAGTCAAGGCATGTGGTTGATTCCTGCAAATGTCAGTCACCAGGTGTTGCTATTGCCTTAGCCTCGTGAAGGATGCCTGCCCTCACCACACATACCTGCTCTGAGCCCTCCTGGCCCTTCCACCTTCTTTCTTTCCCTAGGCCCATCTCTAGAAAGCTTTCCCTTGACTTCAGTGGCTCAGCTCCTCATGCCTGGGCTTTCTGGCACCAGCACCTCTTGAGCCTCTTGTGGGCCTGTGTCTTTGCTTATCCCCCTTCTCCATGTAAGACACATTTTTCTTCCAGGAGAAACAAATGACTTGCACGGACATCAACACCCTAACGAGGCAGAAGGAGCTTCTCCTGCAGAAGCTGAGCACATTTGAAGAGACCAACCGCACCCTCCGAGACCTGCTGAGGGACCAGCACTGCAAAGAGGTGAGTACCTGAGCTAGGCTCCAGCTGCAGCTCTTGGGCTCAGCACACCTTCTGTAGTACCTGCCCACTGAGTCCTGCCCTTGTCTGTACAAGGAGATTCTATGGGAGTCTGGCCAAAGAGGACCAGGGAGAGACTTAAGCCCTTGGTACTGTTGTGGCTGTTCTTGAAGTCAGGCCAAACAGCAGGACCACGGAGGTCAGGGGAAGGGCAGCTGGGAGGGCTTTTTAAGCCCAGCCCAGGGTCCCGGGGAGAAGGAAGTTCTGGGCCTGAATTTTTTCTTCTCCTCCTCCTCTTCCTTGTCCTCCCTCCCTCCCTCCCTGAGAAAGAGAAGCTGAACATTATTTTTTTAATCTTTAAATTGCTTCCCTCTTTAAATACAAGGAGCCTCTGTAAAGACTGTGTTGTTCCTCCAGTAATCCTCTTATACGAACAGTTCACTGAGTCATCAAGCCTTGAATCAGGGCTTGGAAGCCAAGGAGACCACATTACCCTGCAATCTCACATTTTAAAACTCTCCACTTTTCAGAAGTCCTGCAGTCTTATTGTCCTCAATATTGTATTCATAGCATTCTACAACCAGCACGACAATCAGAAACTCTAGGACTATTAGCAGTTTCTTTCCTTTATTCATTTTTTCCATAAAAGTAGAATAAGGTCCGCCGGGTGTGGTTGCATATACCTTTAGTTCCAGCATTCGGGAGGCAGAGGCAGGTGGATCTTTGTGAGTTCAGGGCCAGCCTAGTCTTCATAGTAAGTTGCAGGCCAGCTGGGCTGCAGGGAGACGCTGTCTCAAAAATATATATATAAAAAAATTTCAATATGAAGCCCAAGCTAGCTTTAAACTCACAGTCTTTCCACCTCAGCTTCCTGAGTATCAGCTGCCACACTGGGCTCAGACCTGCATTTTTTTTTTTTTAAGTAGAGAAGTGAGTAATGGCCAGTGACTCCAGTTTTTGAAGTTATCCTCTGAAGTCTGTAATGCAAGCCCTCTAGAAGCTGAGGCGTAGTAGCACAAGTTTTAGGCCAGTCTTGGTTATATCGTACGACCCTGTCTCAAAATACAATTTTTAAAAAGCCAGAGGAAAATGGAAGGAAAGAAAAGCTGAAGCTGCTCCACGCAGAGCCCTTGCCTAGCACTCAGACGGCCGGGTTTAGTCTCCAGTACCACAAAGCAGACGTTTTCTGATATGTACTTCTAAAACATTGCCATCATTGTGTGTGCTTGTGTGCCGTGGTGCACATGTGGAGGTGAGTGGACCTGTGGAATGGTCATCCACCTTTATGTGGAGGCCAGGGGGTGAGGCCAGGGGGTGAGGCTTGCATGACAAGTGCTTCTACCTGCTCTGCCAGCTCTCAGGTCCCCCTGTGAAAAATTAAAAATTTTTTTCTGATCTTTATTTTAAATGATGTGGATATGTGTATGTCTGTGTACCAGAATGCAGGTGCCCATGGAAGCCAGAAGTGTTGGCTCCTCAAGGTGGTTGTGAGCCGCCTGAGGTGGTTGCTGAGAATTGAACTCAGGTCCTCTGCAAGAGTATGTGCTCTTAACTGCTGAGCCATTTCCAGGTCTCTTTTTTTCTGAGACAGGATCTTATGTAACCTAGGCTGAGCTCAAACTTGCTCTGTATCCAAGGATGACCTTGAACCCCTACCTTTCCGCCTCCATCTACCTCCCACCATCATGAGCTCTAATGGATATTTTGTTAGACATTTATTGTTCCACAGTAGCCAACCTCAGGGCTGTACCCTTAGCCCTGCTTTTCTTTCAAAGCAGAGTTACAGTTTATTATGGTTTTAATATAGATTTAGTTTGGTGGGGGAGGGGACTGGAGAGATGGCCAGGAGGGGCCTAGAGAGATGGCTCACTGTTAAGAGCACTTGCTGTTCCTGCAGAGGACCCAGGCTCGTTCAGTTCCCAATACTTACATGTCAACACACAGTCGTCTGATGCTTTCTGGTCTCTGTGGACACTACATGCTCATACGTATAAAATAAACATTAAAAATTTTTTAAAAATCCTTTAAGAAAGGAGGTAAATGTTTACAGATGTATTTTTTATTTTTATTTATGTATATGAGTGTTTTGCCTACATGTGCATCATGTGTTTGCAGTGCCTGTGAAGGCCAGAAGAGGGCATTATCCTCTGAAACTTAAGGATGGTTGTTGGCTCCCATGTGGGGCATGGGAACTGAATCTGGGTCCTCTGCAAGAGCAGCCAGTGCTCTTCATCACTAAATCATGTCCCCATCCCCCAGTTTTAATACAGATTTAAGCTTGGACTTTGAGAGGCAGGGAGTGTGGTATGGAGGTGCACGCTTTTCATCCCAGCACTCATGAGGCAGAGGCAGAGGACCTCGAGGTCAACCTGGTGTACATAGAGAGAAAGAGGCCATTCAGAGCCACATAGTGAGACCTTGTGTCTGGGAAAAACAAAACCATGGGTGTTGGGGGAGAACAGTGCAGTAGTCTTTGGCGGCAGTGAATGTCTCACTCTGTAGCTCAGGCAGGCTTCAAACTCACAGCAGTCTTCCTGTCTGTACTCCTTGGTGCTGGGTTTACAGGTCTTACACTTGGCTCCAACAGGCTGTTTTGGAACATGTACATTATAAAGTGGCTAACTCAAGCTAATTAACTTGGGTGTTACACCCTTCATTTTTATCTGTGATCAGAGCACTTAAAAGCTACTCTTAGCGGTTTCCTGGTATACAATATGTTACCAATAGTCTCCGTGTTGCACAGTGGGTCTGGAACTCGTTATTTTATTATTTATTTATTTATTTATTATTTATTTATTTATTTAATTTATTTGTATTCATGTATTGCCTGCATGTAGGTAAGTGCACCAATTCGTGCAGTGCCCACGGAGGACAGAAGAGGCTGTTGGATACCCTGGAACTGGAGTTAAGGACAGTTGTTAGCTGCCATGTGTATGCTGGGATTTGAACCCTGGTCTTCTCCAAGAACAGCCAGTGTTCTTAACCACTGAGTCATCTCTCCAGCCCCAGAACTTGTTATTTTATAACTGAATTTTTAACACTTTGCCTGACATCTCACTGGTTGCCGCTGGTCACTGCCCTTCTCTCAGCTCCTGTGTTTGACTTTTACAGATTCCATATGAATGAGGCTCCCTCACCTTTTTCTGTGGCTGGTTTATCCACTTAGTACCATGTCTTCCAGGCTCAGCTGTGCTGTAACTGATGTCCACTCCCCTGTTTTCTTTCTAAAGGGCTGATGTGGGTATCTCGCGTGTTGTGTGCACACTGGTTCATCTGTGGCTTGACATTGGTTGAGTGTGTACCTTGGAATTGTGAGTATTCGTAGGTTAGCAAACATCTCTGTCTTTCCACAGTGTTGGGGACTGAATCAGGGCTAAATGCATGTTAGACAAGTGCTCTACCACTGAGCTACATCCCCAGCCCAGTGAACATTTCTCAAAAGACTGATAATAATCAGGTAGTCTCGGGGCTGGAGAGATGGCTCAGTGGTTAAGAACACTGGCTGTTCTTGCAGAAGACCCAGGTTCAAATCCCAGCACCCACATGGCAGCTAACAACTGTCCGTAACTCCAGTTCCAGGGGAATCCACAGTCTCTTCTGTCTTCCGCAGGCATTGCATGACACAGGTGCACTTACCTACATGCACGTATAACACTCATACACATAAAATAAAAATAAATTAAAAATAATAAAAGATTAAGAAATAGGTTTTGATTTCTTTAATAAACCGGGCTGAAGAGGTGACTCAGTAGTTAAGAGCACTGGCTGCTCTTGCAGAGGACACAGGTTTGATTTCCAGCACCCATATGGCAGCCAACAACTGTCTGTAACTCTAGTTCTAGGGGACCCAATGCCCTCTTCTGACCGCAGCAGGCAGTTCAGGACACTGGCACACTTACCCACACGTAGGCAATACACTCATACACATAAAATGAAAATAATAAATAAAATCTTAAAAAGAAACACTGGCTATTCTTGTAGAAGACCCGGGTTTGAATTCCAGCACCCACATGGCAGCTAACAACTGTCCATAATCCCAGTTTCAGGGGATCCAAAACCTCTCTGTCCTCCACGGGCATTGCACGACATGGGTGCACTTACACACATGCCGGCATTATACGCTCAAACACATAAACTAAAAATTAAACTTAAAGATCTACTTTGGGACTAAAAATCTTAAAATTCATGTGGAAGCACAAGAAGAAAGATCAAATGAACACACACACAATGGAGTGCTTCCGTTCGTAAAGAAGGTCGAAGTTACGTTGCCTGCAGGAAAACAGACGATCCCACAGAGGTCAGAAGAGGCTGTCTGATCCCCTGGGAGTTGTTAGCTGCCATGTGGGTGCTAGGATTCGAACCTGGGTCTTCTGCAAGAACAGCCAGTGTTCTTAACCGCTGAGCCATCTCTCCAGTCCCTGAAATGACATTTTCATATTATTTAGCATGTTAGCCAACAAACCTACCTAACTTCCTTTCTTCCTTCCTTCCTTTTTTCCTCTCTCTTTCCCTCCCTTTCTTCCTTCAGTATTTTAAGACAGGGTCTTGTTATGTAGCCCAGCCTTCTCTAGAATTGAAACTGGGCATAGAAGTGGACACTGGTAATTGTAGCTGCAGGAGCCAGAGGCCAGGAGTATCTAAGTATCTAGGTAGGGCAGCCTGGACTGTTGAGTGAGACCTATTTCATACCTCTACCATCTCCCTAAAATAACACACACACACACACATGCAGAGTAATAGAAAGTCATGGTGGGCCTGGTGGCATATGCCTTTAGCCCCAGCATTCAAGAGGCAGAGGCAGGTGGACCTCTGTGAATTTGAGGCCAGCCTGGTCTACATAGTGCGTTCCAGGCTAGCTCTGGCTACAGGGACACCCTGTCTCATAAAAACAGGAAAAAAAAGAAAAGTGGTATGCTCACAGAGCAGCTTCCAGTATCCATCACTTACGTTTCCTTTTGTGATAATCTTACGTGTTCTCCCTAGAAGGAAACTTCATCTTGAACTTGATAGTTTACTTATACATGTATCCCCAACCAACATCAGTGTTATTATGTCTTCTTTTTGTAGTGTGTGTGCATGTTTATGTATGTAGGATCAGAGGACAACCTTGAGTGTCATCCTCAGAAATGACTGTCTGCCTCCTTTGATTTAAAACACATCTTTTATTACATTTGTTTCTTTGTGTGTGCATATGACACTTGCCCACAGCGCGTGGAGGTCAGAGGACAGTTTGAGGGAGTTAATTCTGTCCTTCTACTATGTGGGTTCTAGGGATCAAATTCTGATCAAGAGGCTTGCATAGCAAGCACTTTGCCGACTAAGCCCTCTCCCCAACCCCTAGTTAGTGTGTTTTTAAACTTCACATAAATTATGTTGCTTTTGGGGCTGGAGAAATGGCTCAGTGGTTAAGAACACTGATTGTTTTTGCAGAAGACCCGGGTTTGATTCCCAGCACCCACATGTCAGCTAATAACTGTAACTCCAACAGCATCTTCTGTCCACCATGGGCATTGCACGACACGGGTGCACTTACCTATATGCAGGCACTAGACTCATACACATAAGATAATAAAGTCTTTTTAAAAAGTTATGTTGCGTCAAATGCATTCTGAATTTACTTTGTTCGGTTCACAGTTTTTGTTTTGAGACAAGGATCTTATAATGCAGTCCAGGCTGGCCTCAAACCCATGACACTCCTTCTGCCTCAGCCTCTCAATTGCCAAGACTGCAGGAGCCTTGCTAATAGTTTATGACATTGCTCTTACCTCTAAGGCCTAGAGTGATGAATTTCCTTGCTGTGTTCTGTAATCATGAGGGACACTTACTGCCAGGTTTTTCTGTCACGTTGTATTGATGTGCACCTATCCTGCTGTACTTGAGAGTTTCTGGATGGGCATGGTAGCACAGGTCTGGGAGGTGGAGACAGGATGATCACAAGTTCATAAATTCATGTCCAGCCTGGACTACATAGTGATTCCAGGCTTGCCTGAGCAACATTAGGAGAACCTGTCAGAAAAAGAAAAGTCTAGAATCTATTTTTATTTTACTTGTTATAGCCATACTCTCCTCTGTAGTAGTTAAATTTGCTTTATTTCTGGCTCAGTGGTTCCAGGTAGGTGATTCCTGCCTTAGATTTCTCACCTATAAAATGGGCAGAAGGTCTTCCACTCTGGGGTTGTGCATGGAAGAGAGAACTTAGGGACAAGGACTGCCATTGTTCCTGGGGTGCAGCAGATGTCTCATAATCGTAGGTGCTGCTGTATCCTGGGGGAGTGGCATCTTCAGAAAGCCTTAGTCCATTTAGTTCTCCTTCGTGCTCATATTTTATATGTATATATATATTTTTTAAATATTTTATGTATATGAATGTATTGCCTGCATGTCTGTTAGTGTAGCCCTGTCGTGCAGTACCGCGGAGGTCAGCAGAGCCTGTGCTCACTGACTATTCTCAGCTGTTCACGTCTCTGTCTGTGTCTTCCTGATCTTCTTCCTCCTTTTGAGGAGGGGCTTACTGTGGGGTTCTGAGTAGCCTTGAAGGTTGCATCCTCCCTGTGCTGTGATTTCAGGTGTACACCACCCTGACTGGGTTCCTCTGTCTCTTCTTGTTGCTATAGAAGCTAAGTGCTGTCCTTTTTCAGCTCCCAGGGCCCCAGGAAACTGGGTGTCAGGAAACCCTCTCTTCTTGGCTTGTGAAGGGGACCTGGGGATCATAGAGGGAACAAGACTGTTCCCTCCTTGAAGGGATCTTTGTTCAGGTGTCAAGAAGAATAGGGTCAGTCCCAGAGATCCAGCCAGTGAGAACAGGGGCCAGGAAAGAGCAGCAGTTATCAGAGGAAATGTAAATGGCAGGTAGACATCTGAGCTGATGCTGTGCCTCCCTGGTAAGTAGGGAAATGTCAGTTAATACAGCAGCTCTGCTTTTGGCAAAGACCGTGACTTCCTAGCACAGGCTGGGATTATAGCTCAGTGGTACAGTGCTTGCCTGATGTGTGAGGTTCCAAGTTCAAGTCCCAGCAGAGGAAACACAGGTTAGAGACAGAAAGCAGATTAGTGGTTGCCAAGGGCAGTGGGGAAGGTGCAGGGGTGTGGCTGCAGGGCTGCTGTGAATGGAAGTGGAGATGGTGGTACACGTGCATGAATGTCCTTCGTGTCCCCAAACTGTCTAATGTGACTAAAATAGCAAGTTTTGTCCTACATATTTTACCAATTAAAAAAAAAAGCCAGTATACCCAAAAGTCCCTGATTTCTGCATTTTGTTAATTTACTTTTGCCAACTTGGTGACGTATAACTGACAGGTAAGAGCTGTATGTATTTAAGATGTTCAGCCTTCATATTTGTTGTGAAGTGAGTACCACAATCAAGCCATGTAACTTTGATTACCTTTTATTGTTCCCTTTTTCTTGATGTGGGCACTTAAGCTCTGTCTGAGCAGATTTCAAGTACAGTATCATTAACTTCAGTCATTGTGTTGTACACACTTAGTAAGTATTAACTTATGATGTCTAAATTTATATCTCAAGGAAGCTTTCCCTTTTTTTTGGTCTTTTTGAGACAGGGTCTCCCTGTAGCCCCAGCTGTCCTGGAACTCACTATGTAGACCAGGCTGGCCTTGAACTCACAGAGATCCACCTGCCTCTGCCTTGAGCTCACAGAGATCCAGAGATCTGCCTGGCTCTGCCTCCCGAGTGCTAGGATTAAAGGCGTGTGCCACCATGCCCAGAGGAAGATTTCCTTTTTATTTTTATGTTATTTTATTTTATTTATTTATTTTTTTGGTCTTTCTGAGACAGGGTCTCCCTGTAGTCCCAGCTGTCCTGGTCATGCTCCTTCCAAGTCCCTGACCATCCAGCCAAACCATTGGCTACAGCCCATGAATCAGTATATAATCGCACTTCTGGCCATTTCTCTTTCCAAGCAAAATGCACGACCATGTGCGCTGCCCGAAGTTCTGCCCACTGTGAAGACTTTCCTTCCCCAGTGTCCTTCAAGGTTGTTCCAGAAATTGGCTGTAATGCTGAAGCCGTCCACTTCTGAGTAGTGCCTGCATAGCGTGCAGAACCATCTGTAAACCAAGCCCTAGTCTTCTCTTCCTCAGTCAACGGATCATAGGGCACACCCCATGAAGCCATAGGTGCATGCTTGAGAACAGGAGGCATCGTAACAGGAGTAGGAACCATAGGCAACTTCTTCATGTACTTGTTTCTGCCCTCCAGGCCTGCTCGAGCCCGATCACATATATACCACTTCCATTTGATAATGGATTGTTGCTGTGTGTGGCCTACTTTATGGCTTGAGGGTTCAGATAACACCCAGCTTATGATGGGCAGCTCCAGTCGCATGGTGACTTGGTAGCCCATTGTCAAACATTCAGTTTCCACTAAGGCCCAATAACAGGCTAAGAGCTGTCTCTCAAAGGGAGAATAGTCTGCAGATGAAGGCAAAGCCTTACTTCAAAATCTCAATGACCTCTGCTGTGATTCCCCTATGGGGGCCTGCTAGAGTCCCCAAACAGCATCTTTATCTGCCACTGATACCCCAAGCACCATCGGGTCTGCTGGATCATATGGCCCAAGGGGCAGAGCAGCTTGGACAGCAGCCTGGACCTGTTGAAGGGCCCTTTCTTGTTCCAGGCCCCACTCAAAAGTAGCTACCTTCCAAGTCACTTGATATATGGGTTGTAGTAACACACCCAGATGAGGAATGTACTGCCTCCAGAATCCAAACAGGCCCACCAACCATAAAGGGGCTGTTCTGGTTTGTTTCTCCATTGCTGTGACAGAACACTCTGACCACCACCAACTTGGGGAGGAAAGGGTCTATTTGACTTACATCGCCAAGTCACAGATCATCAGGGAGCCCAAGGTAGGAACTCAGGGCAGCAACCTGGAGGCAGGAGCTGAAGCACAGGCCATGGAGGAATGCTGCTTACTGGCTTGCTCCTCTGGCCCCTGTTCAGCCTGCTGTCTTATACAATACAGGCCCAACTTCCCAGGGGTGGCGCCACCCACGGTGGGCTGGGCCCTCCCACATCATTCATCAAGAAGATGCCCCTCAGACATGGCCACAGGCCAGTCCAATAGAGGCAGTTCCCCAATTGAGGCTCCCTCAACCCAGGTGTGTCAAGTTGACACTAAAGCTATCCAGCACACTTTCCTTTTTAAAAAATATTTTTATTTTATGTGTATTGAGTGTATTACCTGCATGCATGTAAGTGCACCCCTGTGCTACAATGGCTGTGGAGGTCAGAAGAGGTTGTTGGAGTCCTCTGGAACTGAAGTTATAGATGATTGTTAAGCTGCCATGTGGGTGCTGAAAATCAAACCTGCATCCTCTGCAAGAGCATCCAGTACTCTTAACTGCTGAGTCATCTCTCCAGCCCCAAGAAAGATTTCTTTAAAAACAAAAGTTGCAGGGCCTAGGGAGATGGCTCAGTTTCTCTGGGCAGGCCCAGGTAAATTCCTAGCCAGCTAGAAAAGCCTTGGGAAGTGTAGCATCAAAAAGCCAGCTTCAGGCCAAGGTCTGGTGGGTATGCCGGAGGGATTTTAATATGCACACTTGTAAAGTTAGAAATGTCATCTTAGGAGAGCATTAGTGACCTGCAGGCTCTGTATTTATTAAATTTTTGCTTTACTACCCACTGAAGGATTCCGAAAGACTAATGGAGCAACAAGGTACTTTGCTGAAACGTCTGGCGGAGGCGGACACAGAGAAAGCGGTAATCACAGCACCCCTTGTGCTTCTAGAGGGTACAGGTGGCCAGGGGGTTGGGCTCCTGGGAATGGAGGTGGTGGACAGTGGGGCTAGAGCCTCTGGGCTAGCGTTTCTCTGGGTGACAGTTCTTTAAGCTATAAAATGGGTTGACACTTCGTTACCTGCTCTACTGGACTTGTCTGGCTAGGTGATCATTGAAGGGCTTCAAGGCACAAAGTAGAGCACCAGTGTGAGGGGGTGGGAGCTAGAATGAGGGGCATTAAGTTGTCAGGCCCTGTCAACCCTGGATTTGTATTAATGGATTCCTAGCCAGGCATGGTGGCTCAGGCCTTTAATTCCGGCACTTGGGAGGCAGAGGCAGGTGGATCTCTACATAGTGAGTTCAAGGCTAGCTGGGGCTGCAGGGAGACCCTGTCTCAAAAAGACCTCCCCCCCCAAAATTTTATGCACACACACACCCCCCACCACACACACACCCCTTTGGTTCAGTGATTCTTATACCAGGATTCTCTATCAAGGCAGCAAGTTGTAGGGAATTTGAAGTTCTGTAAGAAGTTGGTTCATGGGTGTGAGGAATAAAGGCGGTCCATGGCTTAATAAATTTGGCAAAATATTGGCTGGCTTGAATTCAAAGTTTAACAGGCTTCTTCTTAATCCCAAGACTGGGAGTCTCTGCTGTTTGAATGTCTACGTCTCCAAGAGAGAAAAGAAGGTGAAGGCTGAGCTTCCCTTGGCCTTGCCGCCTGACCCATCCTACATCAGATGCGTTGTGGGTGTTGAAGGGCACGCTTTTCCCCAGCTCACTAACGCACTCCCCTTCTTAGGAGTGCTCTCCTTTTCATTAAACTATATCAAAAAGGAATTTGAAGGAGGAGTGGAAGCTGTGCAGTAACAATCTTGCTTAGTACATTCCCAGCAAGGCTCCCAGCTCAGGAGGCCTTGCCAAGCTATGAGACATTGAGACATGGAAACTATTTCAAAAGATGTTGAAGAGTTAGAGCAGGAGAGCTGGCTCAGTGGTTGAGAGCACTGGCTGCTCTTGCAGAGGACCCGGTTTCCAGTACCCACATGGCAGTGAAAAACTGTCCGTAACTCCAGTTCCAGGGGATCTAATGCCCTCTTCTGACCTCCGCAGGCAGTGCACGACGTGGGTGTATTTACCTACATTTAGGTAATACACTCATACACATAAAATAAAAATAATAAAATAGCTTTAATTGTGATAAATGAAATAGTAGGCTATAGGACAAAATATACTTAAGACGTTGATTTTGTATAAACTGGTAATTGCTGGGCAGGAGGGTCTTAGGGTTTCTTTGTGCTTTTCGGTATTTTCTACAGTTATATATATATATATTTTGTCATTTTGAGACAGGTTCTCTCTGTAGCCCCAACTGGCCTGGAACTTGATATGTAGAACAGGCTGGCCTTGAACTCACAGAGATACACCTGCCTTTGCCTCCCGAGTGCTGGAATCAAAAGGTATGCACCACCACGCTAGACTATACAGTTAATTTTTTTTAACTGAAAAATACATAGTTGTTTTAAGAAAAATTGTATACGTTAGGTGCTTCCCACCTGGGTCTCAGTGACTAGGTGCTTCCCACCTGGGTCTCAGTGACTAGGTGCTTCCCACCTGGGTCTCAGTGACATGTGCCAGTGGGTTTCTATGCCAGTGGGGCCTGTGGCCATGGCGCCTCTGCTTGACTGTGGGGACATATGGCTGTTTTTTTCCCAGCGCCTGCTGTTACTGCTGCAAGACAAGGATAAGGAGGTGGAAGAACTCCTCCAGGAAATACAGTGTGAGAAGGTACCGTGCCAGCACTGTCCTGTCCCAGCCAGCAGAGTGCAGGGCCATGCTGCAGCTGACTCCATCCCCTCCTCTGTCTCCCAGGCTCAAGCAAAGTCAGCCTCCGAGCTTTCGAAGTCCATGGAGTCTATGCGTGGGCATCTACAGGCGCAGCTTCGGTGCAAAGAGGCAGAGAACAGTCGCCTGTGCATGCAGATCAAGGTGCTTGCTGCTCCTGGGTGGGGGGGCGGGGGAGGCAGCCACGGGCCCTGTCCCCTCCCACCTAGCACAGTGGCCTGACGCAGGGGATCCCACCCAGGAAATGTGCCCCAGAGCTCAGGGGACAACTACTGCCGAAGCTCCTGTGCACTGGAGAGATTGTAGGCTAACGTCAGGAGCAGTAGACAGAGAGAGCCTGGAGGGCTGGCCTGTCCCCTCCCAGCAATGACAAGGTTGGGTGTCGTGTTTCTGAGCCTGTCACTCTCTTAGTCACAGACGACTACCCGAGGAAGTCACTAGTCTCAAATACTCCCAAGGGTTCCGAGGTAGCAGATCTGCTGAGTCACCTAAGTATCTGATCACTTGACCAGTTCAGAGGATTTCAAAAGGTCTCCATGGTTTGTGAGATCCAGAGAGGAAAACTGGGGGCCATGGCTCTATCCCTGTCCCTGGAGGCTGGCGTCCTCACTCAGCTGCTGATCTGGCTTCCTCTCCCTCAGTCCCAAGTTTTGCTTGTGCCATTTTGACCCCTCTGCCTTCCACACCACCCTGCTGTCTTTTCCACCCCTTACTTGCTGCTGCTGCCCTCTAGAACTTGGAGCGCAGTGGGAACCAGCACAAGGCAGAAGTGGAGGCCATCATGGAGCAGCTAAAGGAACTGAAGCAGAAGGGAGACCGAGATAAAGAGACCCTGAAGAAGGCCATCCGAGCCCAGAAGGAGCGAGCCGAGAAGAGTGAGGAGTACGCCGAGCAGCTGCACGTGCAGCTTGCCGACAAGGTAGCGGGCTTGGACCCCTGCCCCACCTTTGGAGGAGCACTGCGTGTGGGCAGTAGGACACAGGAGATGAGTGGGCAGACAGATGCAGGGTGAATGAGCCGGGAGGACAATGACTCCGGGAAATGCAGGTGACTAGAGGGCCAGGACTGTCGGACACACCCACCTTGTAGTCAGAAGACTGGCTTGGGATCTGCCAACAGGATGCACATGATGCTGGGAGTCTGGGTGCTCAGCCCAGTCCCCTATTCCCAGTGTGCTCGTCTGGAGAGACGCTGCCAAGGAAGGCCCATATTATCTAGGGGAGCCCAGCCCCACCTCTGTAGCCTGGGTGTTGAGACAAGATTGACATGCCTTGCTGTCTGTGTTCCTAGGACCTATATGTTGCTGAAGCTTTATCTACTCTGGAGTCATGGAGGAGCCGTTACAACCAGGTTGTGAAAGACAAAGGAGACCTCGAGTTGGAAATTATTGTCCTAAACGAGTATGTCTACCTATTAGGAGTGAGGGACTTGAGGAACAGGTGGAAGGGGCACAGGGTCCTGAAGGCTCTGGCAGCAGCTGTGGTCTCTGCAGTGTACAGTGTAGGTTAGGGTTGTACTGTGTTGAGATGTGGGGAGCTCTGAACCAGGCTCTGGCTCTAGGCTTGGCCTCCTCCACTCATAGGTACCCTTGAAGGAATAGGCTTCCTCCATCATGGAGGCCTAAGCCTGGCCTCAGCCTGTACAGCAGGGCATGGACACACTAGTGTCTTTCTCCTTGATCTTGGGGGATGATCTGACTGGTAATCCCTGTGCCTTCTCCATTGTCTGACCAGTGTTGCCTATCAGCCGGTCAGTGGTATGGCAGGGGAGTGGAGGCAGCAGTAGCCTTCAAGGTGTGGGTAACTGGACAGACACCTGCTTTTCCACTGACGGAGCTGTCATAACGACCTCAGTTGCTCTTTAGCCATAGTCATTTGCTCATCCCAAAAGAACGTTTAGAGCAATGTGCACATGCTAGCCTGTGCAACTATAAGTTGCGGTACCTGCCCTGTGTGCTGTCGAGATGAGGCCCAGCTGGTCACTGGGAGCTAACAGAGTCCCCCATGAGGAAAGCCTTCTTTAGGAAAGTGTCTTTGTTGTGTTTCCCCAACGCAGCAAACGGGCTGAAAACCCGCCATGCGCCAGGTGTTCTTTTTTTTAAATCCACTGCCCAAGAGCCTTCCAGCAGACAGACTTTGCTGTAGCTGCACTCTAATCCCCAAGGGAAGCTAGCTGGGCATAAGTTAGCATTCCTTATTGGGTTTAAAAAAAATATTTTATTTATAGTTTTTATTTTATGTATATGCGTGTATTGCCTGCACGTAGGTAAGGTGGGTAACTTCACCCCTGTCATGCGGAGGACAGAAGAGGCTGTTCGATCCCCTGGGACTGGAGTTACAGACAGTTGTTAATTGTCATGTGGTGCTGGGGTTTGAACCTGGATCTTCTGCAAGAACAGCCAGTTTTCTTAACCGCTGAGCCATCTCTCCAGCCCCCCTACGCACTGGGTGTTCTTTGCAGGGAATTCTCTGTCTAGCAGGAGACAAGATCAGGAAGGGTACCTGGTGCAGATGAGAGGTCAGAGAAGGGCTGCTCCCAGGAGGGGAGTGTGAACTAGGCTTTTGTGGGCGAGTAGTAGGTTACTGGGTGAAATTCAGTATGTGGGGTTGGACCCAGTCAGTGTTCAATAAACACTTGACAAATGCTGGCCTCCAAGTGAAGAGTACTCAGCTAGGCTCATAGCTCAGTGGTAGAACACTTGTCTAGAATGACTTCCTTTCCATGTCCTTCACTACAAAAGCCAAATAATAATAAAATAAAATAAAAAATACAGCTGGAAGCTGGGCATGCTGCACACCTTTAACCTGGGTTACATAGTGAGTTCCAGGCCAGCTGGGGCTACAGGGAGACCCTGTCTCAAAACGACCAAAGTAAGTAAGTAAATAAATATATAAATCAATCAATCAGTCAGTCAATCACTGAACCCTGTGCAGAGGTCAGAGGTTGCGGCACCTTGGCACACCAGTGAGGCCAACTTGAGCTGATGGTAGACACAAGGGAGGAGGAGCTGGGGCAGCAGCCGGCCCTGTAGCTGGCTCCTGTCACCTGAACCTCTACAGTGCTTGCTGGAGTCCACACAGGAATAGGCCTTGCTGTGGGGGGTAAAAGCCAAGTGTGCCAAGAGCCTGGGTGAGGAATGCCTGAACAATAGTCCCTGACTACCCACCTGGATATTGAGGGAGATTCCAGAGAACTCTGTCCTAATGTTAACCAAGAAAAGATGGGGCCCGAGGTGCTGAAACCTGGGAAGACTGTGTCTTACCTTGAGATCAGGATGGACGCATGTAACCGCATGGCTAAATGGTAATGGTTTCCAGAGAGGGATCGTGGGACACAGATCTTAAAGGATGTTATATGGAGGTGGAGGTGGGACACAGTTGTGGGATACCTGTTTCTTGGTGCTGAGACTGGGAAGTAAGCAGACAGCATGGGATGGTCTTGGGGGTGAGCGGCAACTCTGCTCCATTCCCACAGAAACCTGGATATTTATTGTGTTGTTACTTTTGTAATCGTCCAGTCGAGTGACAGATCTCGTAAACCAGCAACAAAGCTTGGAGGAGAAGATGCGGGAAGACCGGGACAGCCTTGTAGAGAGACTGCACCGGCAGACCGCTGAGTATTCTGCATTCAAGCTGGAGAACGAGAGGCTGAAGGTCTGGAGGCGACCCGTGGGAGCTGCGAGGGCATTTGGGTGGTGACTAGCAAGACCAAGGGCAGGCTGGCCTCGGTGGGCATGGAAATGAGCCAGGGGGTCTTAGAGGACCCTCAAGCACTTAGTGCTGTTAAAGAGAGTGCTCTGGAGTGAGTCCTGGTGCTGCCTCTCACCAGCTGTAGGGCCTAGTGAGAGTGCAGGTATGTGAAAGGCTCACACCTTTCCTTGCTTCACGCCCACAGGGCAGGACTGACTTTGGCTCAGGGCCTCCTGGGCCCTGTGTGCTTTCTCATTTTCCACTTCTCAGCTGTGTATTACCTTCATTTGGGAAAGAATAAGGACATAGGGCAAGGGGTATAGTTCGTTGTGTAGAGCCTTACCTAGCATGTCTGGGGCACTGGATTTGATCCCCAACATCTTAAGTGTTGGGGGTTAGCAAGATGGCTCATATGGTGAAGGCCTCTTCTGCCAAGCCCGAGCACCCGTTTCTGATTCTTGGGACCCACTTAGTGGAAAGAGCAAGTTTTCCAAGTTGCCTTTTCTGACTCCCACAGGTATGCAGTGACACACACGCACACGCACACACGCAATAAATAAGCGTAATAAAGTTTTTTAATTTAAAAGTCAGGTGTTTGAAGGCTGGAGAGATGGCTCAGTGGTTAAGAACACTGGGTGTTCTTACAGAAGACCCAGGTTCGAATCTTAGCACCCACATGGCAGCTAACAACTGTCTGTAACTCCAGTCCCAGGGGATCTGACAGCCTCTTCTGACCTCTGTGGGGTTTGCATGACACCGGTGCACTGACCTACATGCAGGCAACACATGCATACACATTAAAAAAAAAAAAAAAAAAAAAGTCAGGTGTTTAGAATTGAGATATAAGTTGGAATCTGACTCTGGAGACTGGCTATTGTGGTGCACATCTGTAATCCCAGCAGTCAGAAGGCGGAGGCAGGAAGATTACCATACCTTGGAGGCCAGCCTGGGCCACAGAATGGGAGCTTGTCTCAAACAGGGTCTCCCTTGTAGCCCCAGATGGCCTAGAACTCACTGTATAGACCAGGCTGGCCTTGAACTCACAGAAATCCACCTGCCTAATTTTTATTTTGCTTGGCAAGATCAATTTCCAGAAAGTATTGTGTAGGAAGGTTTGTAAATCCTAAAGTTTTCATAAGGTCAGCACAGCTTCAGTCACTGAAATTTACCAGCGCCCCGGTGTCCTCTCCTCATAACTGACCCCTGTAAAGGCAGCTGTGTCGTCCCAGGTGAGCTGCCTGGTTTTGGATTTCGCAGATTCATACAGTCTGACTGGTGAGTGGTTTGCATTTGCACATGAGTCATTTATTCCCCAGTGCCGTAGGTGGGTTCCATGAGGTGAATCTGCCACGTGTTTGTCTGTCTGACTGTTGGTGGACATTTTATTTTGTTCCATGGTGCCGTGGGCATGTTTTGGTGTACACATTGGTGTGTGGGATCTTGAAATAGAATTGCCAGTCCGTCAGGTGGCTCCACTTCAGTGGATGTTGCCAAGCAAGAAAGCAGTGGTGGACACCTGATGGGCCTGTTCATGGCACATGGAGTCAGCGTGTGCTCTTTGTCTCCTTGCCAACACTTGGAATTGTCTTTTCTATTTTTACCACTCTGGTGGGAGTGTGGCAGTATCTTTTTGTTGTACTACGTTTGTTGGATAAGGTGAAAATAACCTCCAAGGGGCCAGGAGTGTGGCATACAGGAAGCTGAAAATCAGCATGGACGACTGCATAGTGGGTTCCAGGCCAGCTTAGGATACATAGAGACCCTGTCTCAAATAAGAGTAATAACCTCCAGTTTAACACTTAGGGATTAATTATAGTCTGGTACGTGTCTACAGAATAATATATTGTAGCCCTGGAAAATGATATCTGCCAGTAGAAGTGTGTCCTCTTATAGAAGTGGGGTGGTACTCCATGGCATAGCATGTGCATTGCATGCACTGAGGCCCTGGGTTCCTTCCTCAGCTCCCAAAACAGAAACCATCTCAGATCTGTGATACCAAGTGAAGGTCTCTGTCAACAGTGGAAGTGCTTTTCTAGATTCTCCCCTTTGAAAGTAACCTAGTAATATGTATTCAAGTCCCCCCCAGCCCCGTTTGCTTTTCTCTCTTTGATTCTTTCTTTTCCATGATGCTGAGCATGGAACACGGCCTGCACATGCTAGACAAGCACTGGCCTGTGCCCACAGCTCATTTCTTACTTGGCCATATTTCACGGATGTCTTTTTAGGTCAGTGTTTTAAGTTTTAGCTCTTTTCTTTTTCTCTTTCTTCCTTCCCTCCTTTCCCCCTTTCTTTTTTAGAGACAATGTTTCGTTATGTACCCCAGGCTAGACTCAAACTTTATATGTAGCCTAGATTAGTCCCAAACTTGCAGCAGCTCTCCTGCCTCAGCTCACTGAGTGCTGGAACTGGGTTATTGACATGAGCCACCACACCCAGCACTCATGTGCTTGAACTCTCTCCCCCAATTTCCCCTTCTCTCCCCTTTCCCCCCTCCCCGCTCTTCTCTCTGTTACGTCTTATTTTATTGCTTTGCAATACCATGATTTATAGTGTCTTATCAAAGGTAAGCATTAAGTATCTAATTTAACAAGGGGAATTCATTGTCCTGAAAAAGAGGTTCACAACATATTGTTAATTTTTAAAAAGTATGTTGTGCCATGTGTGGTTGCACATACCTTTAATCCCAACACCTGGTAGGCAGAGGCAGGTGGATTTTTTTGACTAAGAGGCCAGCATGATCTATGTAGCAAGTTCCAAGCCAGCCATGGCTTGCTACATAGTAAGACCCTGTCTCAAAAAAAAAAAAAAATGAATGAAGCCGGGCATAGTGGCGCATGCCTATAGTCCCAGCACTTGGGAGGCAGAGGCAGACGGATCTCTGTGAGTTCAAGGCCAGCCTGGTCTACATAGTGAGTTCCAGGACAGCTGGGGCTACAGGGAAACCCTGCTTCAAAAAGACAAAACAAAACAAAAAAACAAACAAAAAAAAAAGTGTTTTACAAACTTAGTAAAAAGGATATAATACATAGTTTTCTGAAGAAAATGTTACAGCACAATAGATATATAGCCAAATCCCAGGCCTTGGACCTGTGATTAATGTGTCCTGGTTTTGTATTAATTTTCACCACCTAGGAATTGAACCCAGGGCCTTGTGCAGGCTAGGCAAGCCTTCCAATACCACTTGGCTGCACCCAACCCTCCATTTCCTTTAATGATCCTCTGTTGCCTTTTGAATAAGAAATGTTGTCATGTCTATCCATGGAGGTGACTACATTAGGAGTTAAGACTTACCTAGAGCCTCTCAAATGAAAATCACTGGGGGCTTGAGTCTCAGGGTCGTTCCTTTGCTGGTTCCTAGAGGTGGTCTGAGGGTGGGAAGCCCCACCAGGGACCTTCCTGCTGGTTGCTCACAAGCCATCCCTTCTCCAGGCTAGCTTCACCCCAATGGAGGACAAGCTCAATCAGGCCCACCTGGAGGTCCAGCAGCTGAAGGCGTCGGTGAAAAACTATGAGGGGATGATCGACAACTATAAGAGCCAGGTGAGTCGGGCCCCGAAGCATCTGGTCCCTGCATGTCCTCCTGCTCCGTCAGGCTGGCAGCTGGTTGCCAGGCCTCTCCGGGAAGGGTGAGGGTGGAAGGTGGCTCTGTCTGGGAGGGCCCATTGTGGTTTTGGTCCCCAGGTGATGAAAACCAGATTGGAGGCTGATGAAGTGGCTGCCCAGCTAGAGCGCTGTGACAAAGAAAACAAGATTCTTAAGGATGAGATGAACAAAGAGATCGAGGCGGTACTGTTCCCTTCCTTCTTCACTACCCTGTTGAAGCATCTGATTTCAGTGACTGAGTGCACTGGTGCCTTTGACCCTGACTGACTCGGACCACAGGGGTGACTGTGGTCCAGATTTTCCTCTGGTGGTCTGGTCTGCTTGGTGTGTGTGTGTGTGTGTGTGTGTGTGTGTGTGTGTGTGTGTGTATGTGGGGAGGGGCAGGGGACAACCTCAGCTGTCTTTCTTCAGGTGCTTTCTCCTGTGTGTGTGTATGTGTGTGTATGTATGTGTGTGTGTGTGTGTGTGTCCTCCCCTGTGTGTGTGTGTATGTGTGTGTATGTATGTGTGTGGTGTCTCCCCTGTGTGTGTGTGTTCTCCCCCCACCCCTTTTCTCTCATGCTTTCTTCCTTTTCTTCCCTTGTGGTTTTTTTCCTTTTCCATTTCCTCAAGAAAACAAAATCAAAACACTTGTTGCTTTAAAGCAGCAAACGGACACAGCTGGGGCTTTGGCTTGCTTGTTTCACTCTACGTGGACTCTGGTATTGCGGCATCCGTAAATATACCTCCTGTCTCCTTTGGAAAGATCATTTTCTTTTAGAGATGTTGGCCGACTGAAGTGTAGTGATCACCTTAAAGGTAACCTCAGAGACAGGCCGAGTCAGGCTCTGCCGCTCACTGCCAGTTTCTGGTGCTCAGTCTTGTGAAGCCTAAGGATGGAGTGGGCCCAGGTCTGTCTTATTTCTCTGACCTGTAGCACAGTGGCTACCGTCCTAGGGGCTCTGGAGTCAGACTAGCCTTTAAGCCTGGCTTTTCCAGGTTTTTAGCTGAGTGACCTCAACAAATAGGTTTGCTCCCTGTATGCTTTGTGTCTTCATATGGCTACATGCACACCCATGGTACCGTTCAAGTTAAGTGAGCGCCCTTAGGACGATGCCCAGTCCAGGTGTTTACTGCAGTTGCCACTGACATTTGATTGCTAAAGGCCATCAGTTAAGCTGAAGGCCTTAAGGGCAGATGCAGGTGAACCCTGCGGGGAACAGCTGCACACCTGCTTGGCCTGTGGGAGGCTGTGGCTGCCTGTGAGTTTTGCAAGGTCTTTGGAGACCGAGGCAGCCTGGCTCTCACTCTAGAGGACTATGCTTGGTCACCAACAGCCAGGACCATGCCAACAGTAGGCTTCTCTTCCTGCTTCAGGCCCGCCGGCAGTTCCAGTCCCAGCTGGCTGACCTGCAACAGCTGCCTGACATCCTCAAGATCACGGAGGCTAAGCTGGCCGAGTGCCAAGACCAGCTGCAGGGCTACGAGAGGAAGAACATCGACCTCACAGCCATCATTTCAGACCTGCGCAGCCGGGTAAGGGACTGGCAGAAGGGATCTCACGAACTGGCCCGAGCAGGGTCCCGCTTACCGAGATGAGCTGCACAGCCCCAAGGGACGACCGCCTCCTTTTTCTTGGCTGCCGATTTCTGAAAGGAGTGAGTTATCATCAGTGCTGTGAAATAAAAGTCTGGTGTGCCAAATGCTGCGTGTTTGCACCAAGTGATTGTAGCTGTAGGAGTCGTCGCTGACAGAGCCCTGGGGTCCCCTGCTGCAGCCCACCAGTGCTCCAGCCTGCTCTGCCTGCTTCTGCTTTGCTTGGTCTGCTGCTCTCTGCGCCCCACAGCCACGGAGAGGAGACATGGCAGATACTTGGCCACCGTCTTCCTTGGTTCCATCATTCTCAAGTTCTAACCAGCTCTCCTATTCTTCGCAGATGGACTGTCTGAGATTCTGTTCCGAGAGACGAGCAAGCAGCCCTTTGTCTGTGGGCTGCTGGACCATGCTCCTGCCTGCATGTCCAGCACATTATACATCCCTCGTTCCTCTGTGACCTCCTTTAGTTTGTTTTAGTTCTTTGACACGGTCTCATGTAACCCAGTCTGGCCTTGGAGTTACAGCCACGTGCCACCGTGCCTGCCTTCCTTGAGACTCTCCTGACCTCTTTCCTTGGAGTAATCATAGAAGGAGCTACCTTTTCTTAAGCACCTGCCATGTTCAGTGCCCGCTCTCATTTCAAATATCTCCTAGGAACTTGGTCAAGTATTTGTTACTCCCCTGTAGCAGCCCAAGGCCTGGAGGGGGTCAGCGAGTCCCTATGTCACAGAGCTACTTATTTAATATCCATATTAGCTCTGTGTGGTTCCCAGGCCCATCCCCTCAGACATGTGCCTCTTTCTGTGTTGACCTTGAATGTTCTTGAGTGTCTTGAGTTCTGGTATCTGATCCTCCCACATAAAGCAGCCCTTGGAGTAACTTCTCAAACTTGCCAGCTTAAATCTTCGCCTCCCTTTTGCTACACTGTCCCCTGTTCAGGGGAGATGCTGTCCATGGTACCAACAACGTAATCTGTGAAGCTCCGCAGTTTGCTGCATGTCCGAGCCTCTGCTTCCACCTTCTCACCGCTGCTTTAGCCCCTTCTGGGCCTCCGAAGGGCCTGATCAAGAATGCTTCATGGTTGTCCTTCAGCATCCTGCCAGTTTTCCTCTCATGGGAAAGTGGAGTGGGCCTGTCCTGTGCCTGCTGTTCTCTCTCTTCCAGGTTGTGTATTGAACCTGGACACCTGAAAAGGGCAGCATGCCCCTTTCCTGGGTGTGAATGACAGGTCACGAGGAGAAGAGAAAATTCCTTCCTGCTTTGCCTTTATGGCATGTTTCCTTCATCAACCAGTATATGTTCCTGTCATTTTAGATCGAACATCAGGGGGACAAGCTGGAGATGGCGAGAGAGAAACAGCAGGCTTCCCAGAAGGAAAATAAGCAGCTGAGTCTGAAGGTGGATGAGCTGGAGAGGTTAGAGGCACTTGGTCCCATCTCTGTCCTCTTCCTAGGACCTGAGACTTACCACTTAGCTGCTTTGTGCTTAGTGTGCAGAAGTGTTTGAGGGACTCAAGGTCTGAAGGTGCTAGGCAGAATGCAAAGCTGCGTCCGTTTCAGTGGTAAGCCTTATGGGAGAAGGGGAGGGGCTGTCAGCCTTGAGGGATGCTGTTTGATGCTGTAAGCAAGGGCAGCCTTCCCAGTACCACTAATTCATGTGCCAGGCTTTAATCCCAGCACTCAGGACACAGAGGCAGGTGGATCTCTGTGAGGTCAGCCTGGTTTATATAGGGAGTCCCAGGCCAGCCACTGGGGCTACATAGGGAGAGCCTCAAAAAAAAAAAAAAAAAGACACGGTTGGGCCAAGCAGATCAGCAGTACCCACCTTACCGGAACAGCCAGAACTCTGCACCTCTCTGTTTTTCTGCCTTGTGTCCTGACCAGTTTTCCCACTGACTCTTACAGACTGTTAAAGGTAAGGCAGTGAGGCATATACCATTTGGAATCAGAGCTCTGACCTTCAGTCCTGACTCAACCTTGTAACCTGCCCTGTGATCTTGAGTAAATCATTTAACTCTTTGATGACTCAACTAGAGTCATTTAATCTGTTTCCTCATTTTGAGGAAGGATCGATATGGGGTAATATGATAGCTGACAGAAGTACAGCCACTCTTCAGTAAGATGATCCCCGTAGGGCCTGGCATAGAGAGATGGTCAAGATGGGGCTTCACCAGCTGATATCCTTAAGTCATGAATTCTCAAGACCAGCTGTGGTTGGCGCACGTCTGTAATCCCCACACCACAGCTACATAGTGAGGTCTGGTCTCAAAGGAAAAAAAAAACAACGAATTTTTATTTATTTTTAAAGTTTTATTTTTAAGTATGTATGTTCAGGTGCCCTCAGAAGCCAGAAAGAGGGCGTCTGTCAGAACCCCTGGAGCTGGATTAGAGGTAGTTGTGAGCTGCCCCCCATGTGTGCTAGGAATTGAACTTGGGTCATCTGGAAGACCAGGCTGGCCTCTAAGTCACAAGAGATCCACCTGCCTCTGCCTCCCTACTGCTGGGATTAAAGGTGTGCACCACCATGCCTGGCTTTGCTGTATTTTATTTTTTTGTCTTTTTGAGACAGGGTTTTGCTGTAGCCCCAGCTAGCCTGAACTGGCTATGTAGACTAGGCTGGCCTTGAACTCGCATAGATCCATCTGCCTCTGCCTTCCAAGTGCTAGGATTAAAGGTGTGCTCCACCAAGCCTGGCAGCTTTATTTTTAATTGTGTCTGTATGGGTATGTGCATGTAAATGCAGGTACCCACGGATGCCAGAGTCTCTGATCCCCTGGAGCTGGAGTTATAGGTAGTTGTGAGCCAGCTGACACAGGTGCTAGGAACTGAACTGAGTTCCTCTGAAAAAGCAGTATGCACTCTTAACTGCTGAGCCGTCTTTCCAGCCCCTATTTTGGGTTTTTGAGACAGGGTCTTCCTCTGGCATGGAACTTACAGTCCTCCTGCCTTAGTCTCCTGAGTTACTGGGATCGACAGGTGTGAGCTGCCCTGCTCCCCAATTTTTAAATATGAGGAAACTGAGCTCAGGAAGAGGTTATAACTTGCCCAGATTCACACAGCTTTATCAACCAAAGCTACACCTATAACTCTCTTCCTGCAAAGCCATATTATCGTCTGTATGAGGGGAACTGGAGCTATGCCTGGTGGCATGTGACTAACACCAGCTTGTAGTCAGCCCTGCCTACAGAAAAAAGGAGGGCTTGAGCCTGAGTTTCAGAAGTGGAGAGCCAGAGGTCCTCAGCTCGTGCAGCCTGCGGGGAGACTGGAGCAGGGTGGTCTGCTTTCCACCTCTGCTTTGCTGGCTGACCTGGAAAATATGGCTAGGGCCAACAAGACTTGCAGTGTTCCTTAAGTTGGAAGGTGTTCTAGAAGAGCAGTGGGGACAGTGTGTACACAGGGAGGGCCATAGCTGCCCCATGCCTGTCACATGAGGTGCCTGTGGCTCAGCTGAGGTCTCTTGGCTGAGCTGGGTTTTGGTGACAGACTTGTCAGCTGGGCAGACCTCAAGTAAGTGACTCTACCTTCCCTGGGGCTCAGCTTCTTCGCCTCTAGTGTGGCAGGTTCTTCGTGCGACAATGTGTGCGCTGCACATTGCATACTTGGTTACTCTTGGCGTCTTCCCTCGAGGCATACTGTTCTTTGACCCGTTGCTCCAGTTGCTCAGTGCCATGCTGACCTGAAGACTTTTTTTTTTCTTTTTTATTCCTGTGGTTCCTTGGAGATTCTTGGTGTGATGACTTCCCCTGTCCAGGGGAGGCAGCAGCCCTGTGGCAGTGGATCAAGGCAGGTGGGTTATCCAGGCTCTGATTGAATGCTTTCAACTAGGAAACTGGAGGCCACGAGCGCCCAGAATGTCGAGTTCCTACAGGTGATTGCCAAGAGGGAGGAGGCAATCCACCAGGCCCAGTTGCGACTGGAGGAGAAAACACGGGAATGTGGGTCTTTGGCGAGGCAACTGGAGAGCGCCATTGATGATGCCAGAAGGCAGGTAGGTCACAATGCATTCCTTGAAAGCCTGTGGCCTAACTTTCCCAGGCTACCCTCCCATCTATAGAATGGTGTGTAGTACCCTCCTCCTGATGTGTTGTGAGAATCAAATGGGTATCTATTGTAAAGACTCAGTCCTTGGTATGACCATTTATGCCCTTCCTTCTCAGTACTCAGGCTCTTTCACATCTTAGGGATGCTGGTAAAGGGCACACAAAGCTAGATGGCAAGAGCTGCCCCCATAGATGGCTTCTGCCCCAGGGTCCCAGAGAACATGTTTCACACTGATATACAAGTGGTGTCTGTGACTGGGTGGTGGGAGTGGCCAGCACCTACCTCTGTGCTTCCCATGCAGGTGGAGCAAACCAAGGAGCAGGCATTCTCCAAGGAGCGAGCAGCCCAGAGCAAAATCCTGGACCTTGAGACCCAGCTGAGCAGGACCAAGACTGAACTTGGCCAGTTGCGGCGGACTCGTGATGACGTAAGTCAGGCCAGTAGGCAAGGCTGGAAGTAAATACAGCACTGAGCTTCCTTAGGGTCTGTAGGCAAAGCATTCTGTTGATGTTTTTGTGAATCAAGTAGAGGAGGCTGAGATACTAAAGACTCCATTCAATGAAAATTACATAGAAACATCCAAACCTAGCAAAAGAAATAGACATCCAGACAAGAGACATTTAGAACCCCAAGTTCATAGGATCAAAGAAGAATCTCTCCAAGGCACAATCAAGATGTCAAAAATGCAGAGCTTGGCTGGGCAAAGGGTGCATGCATTTAATTCCAGCTCTGCAGAAGCAGGCGGCTCTCTATGTGAAGTTAAAAGCTGTAAGGGTAGGACTGGAGAGGTGGCTCAGCGGTAAGAGCACATACCACTCTTGCAAGAGGACCTGAGTTCAGTTCCCACACCCATGTCATGTGGCTCACAACCTGCCTGTAACTTCAGCTCCAGCGGGTTCTGACCCCTCTGGCCTCCATGGACACTACACTTACATGCATATACCCACACACAGATGCACAGAATTTTTTTTTTTATATACGGTCTTATTGTGTATACCGAAGACCTGCCAGGCTCTGCCTCCAGAGTGCTGGGGTTAAAGGTATACACCGCTATACCAAGCTAAGGT